TACGATTAGTAATATGTCTTAAAATGCACTAGATCTACCTATAGAAAAACGTTATATATACATGAAGAAAAGATAGAATCACCTGGGGAGATTGCAACCGGAAGGTTGCCACCGATACTTGAGGTACTCTTTGTCAGGGCGACCATTGGACTTGCAGTTAAATTGTCTCTCGATGAAAGGACAAGTCTTGGAATCATAGAGAGGGTAAGATTTATCATAGACCCAACTTCCTAAATAAATATTACAAAACTTTCTATGTGATTGTGATGAACCATTCACACTAGCACTCTCTGTTTGGTTTAACAACACAAGTATCATTATAACCATGACCATTACTACTCCGGTCGAAGCAGCACCTCTCATCATTGCAAAACTCACACAAGTTGTCAACGTTTTTGGTTTGGTGAAGAAGAAGAATTGTGTGGCTTTTGTTTATATATATCGGCATATATATGACGTGTTTGTGTAGTATATGTTATATCGGCTCTAATTTAAGAAAATATCTCTACATGTAGATTTTTTTCTTAAATTAAAGATATTTTCTCTCTGTCTTACGGTACTTAATTGGTAAAATGAACGTTAGAATCTTTATTAATGAGGAAAGGAGATGGATCAGTTTCCATTTTCGTTGGATTCAGTTTTGGTCTGGAGATCTAGAGATATGTGGAAGTTTTTTTTAATACTAATATATGGAAGTTTATATCTTTGTATATATCATATATATTTATACTAATTCATCATATTTATACTAAATGAATTTCATATATTAGTATAAATATATGGATGTCTTTATAAATAAACAATATACATATAGTAGTTTATATCTTTGTATCCAGTACTAATTTATAATTTTATACTAAATTAATTTCATCTTGATACAAGTGCAATTAAAATTTAGGTTAGGACTTAATCACAGCCTATGAGCATGTTTCACTTGAAAATAACAAAAGAAGAAAGAAACTATGACAAAAAAAAAAAAAAAAAAAAAAAAAAAAAAAAAAAAAAGAAAGAAAGAAACTCGAAAGTCAGTCATTACCACTCTACAAATCAATTCAAATGCCTATGAAACCTTTTCTGTATCCTGGAAAACAATCTCTCAAGATAAGAACAAATTAAATTACTAATAGCTTACAGGCGCTTTTAGCATTTCTCTAACTCGGGTTTAGCCTCTTCGACCTCGTCTCCATGTCCAGTCTCTGCGGTTGATATGTTGCTGTTATGATCAACGGATTGATTTCTGTTAAATGTAGTTTGGCTTTGGATATAAGACCACTTATCTTGAAAAAGATAGACCAAGACAATAGAAGCGAGTTGTGCCGTGAAGAGTATGGTCCAAAGCTTAGCACTTGTTGATGTCTTTTTGGCGTAAGCGTGTAAACCTGTGTATATGTTTATCATCCCAAGAATAGTAATTAATGTTCCTAATATCCAATGTCCTACAAACCACTTCCTTCTAGATTTTCCTCCCCTGCAATGTATAGTAAACAAAACAATACTTATAAACTAGACCCATTTGGAAGTCCTCGTCATGATTGATAACATACAATTAAGTCTAACAAATGCAAACTCTATATGCAAACGCAAGAACACAAAATAATAATTGTTATAATTTCGTCGCAAAAAACTATCGGTTCTCTATTTATTATGCTGAAGAGAAAAAAGGAACCAGAAGTACCTTGGAGGTCGGAGGAAGCCAAGAAGAGCTTGGAACCATACAATAGCGTAAAGTCCAATTCCAAGCTGTTGGTGATGATTATTGAAGGAATTGTTGAAGTTTTTAATCGACATTATTGCCCCTATTGTCACAAGTATCACTGCAACCATCTGTTTGATAAAGTCATATGAGCCACTTATTGATTGATAATAATAGTTAAAAGTGATTTTTGTTGATCAATAATATATAGTCCACATTTCTTATTAATTAAGTATCAAGGAAACTATATTTTGTAACAAGAATTTGACTAGTAGGTGTGGTTTTTTAGTTAAGTATCAGAATGAGAAAAAGAGAAAGTCAGAAAGAATTAAAGGTTAAGAAGATATTGACGCTAAAGCTAAAAAAGAAGAAGAAGATAGACGCTTTACCTTGGCCTTCAAGTTTCCATGATTATCAGTGTGATTAACAATCTAGAATAACTCAAAAAGCCCTACTAATTACTAATGGAATACTAATTAAAAATCATGAAAAAGTCGTCAGTTGGATGCAATCTTTATTCTTTAAGCATCTTTGCTTTACTCTCCATCCACCCATCTTCTCGCACCGACCATTAAATTTCATTTTCAACTCATATAATATTTTCAACATACTTATGATTTAGTTCGTTGAATCTGATTAATCTTTGATATCTCAAAAAATAAAATAGAATAAGAGAGCCAAAAAAAGAAGTGAAACCTGCCTGAGAAATGACATGAAGAAAGAACAGTCGTCGAAGAGTGATTATAGGTTGGTCTTTGATAGATATTAATCTGATGGAGATTATACCAATTGGCAGTAAAACACCCATCGATGCCCAAAGCATAAATCCATGCACTTTGATTTCGTACACAAGCTTTGGATTTAGTTTCTGTTCAATAAAACCAAAAATAAGAGTTTCATACCAATTAAGAGTTTTGAAAAAGTAATTAACAAGCACACATTTTATAGAAAAAAATCTATATCCTTTAATCATCATGTAAGGAATAATATATTCAGAAAATTCAAGGGTTCTTCATGGTTTCATGTAAAAATGTCTATATATACATAGACATACATATATGCTAATCATGAGATGATGAATATAATAATTAAACTCATTAGGTTCATAAGTTCAGTAACAAAGGAGCTTCATTGTATAGAATTATAAGCTAAAGCAATGAGATTATGAAGAGTTTGATATTATTACATTTTAATTAATTAGGATGAGCGAGAGAGAAAAGAGCATACTAACCTCGGAGATAAGACTTGTTTCGACTTGACCATTGACATCAATGGCCAAGCTTCTGGTATTTTCTTGGGAGGTGCATAGGGGAAGAAGGAGGAGGAGGAGAAAGACGAAGAGGTGATGGTGAATCTCCATGACTTCATGTGGTTTGAAGTGGAAACAACAAATACATAGTTTAGAATTGATGATAATCAATTCATGAGTTTATTTTCATAAATATAAGTGTTAAAGTTTATGAGTCTGTGTGTGTGTGTGTGTGTGTGTGTATATAAAGAATTGGATTACGGTATGGAACTTGATCCACTAGTTTCCTAGCTAGAAGAAGAGAAAGTAAAAGTGGAGTTTTAGAATTTGCTTTTAGAGTGTAAAGAAATGTGAAGAGAAAATAAGTGCGCAACTTTCTTATATAATACTGTTTTGCATGGAGGCTGATTGTTTATTTTCTAGCAGTTCTGAATTTAAATGGTAAAAAAGCAAGTGGAGGAATGGGCAATAATCTTCAAGTTGCTCAATTGTGTTTCGTCTATTGATTTGATCTAAAGAGAACTTCATTTTTCGTCAATCTTAATTAGATATTAATAATGATGTTTTATATCTGAAAAAAGGACTATATATATTAACGAATGTAAAAAAAAAAGGAATATTCAAGTGGATGTCACTATCTCTACAGCACTTTTGGTTTTCTATGAAAAAAAAAATTACAACTGAAAACTCCTTCAGATTAATCCAAAAGTGGAATTTTATTGGACTTTTATGTTTTGTGGAAGAATGTCAGAATTTTTTGTAAGAGAAAGTGAGTCATGGCAGGTTGCACTAGGCACTAGCTCAAAGACCACTAACAATATGTTACTGTCAACAAACATCATGATTTCATTATGGAATGTATACATTAATGACCACATGGATATATTTTTTCTCTTTTCAAACATGAATCATAAGAGCATACCAAAATTTTAGATAAATGGTCAAACTCATAAATGTCAAAAGTTGTACAGTTGTTTGAACAATTTCTGTAGTATATTTCTTCTTATTTTGCAGATGGAATATAAGGAGCCTAAAAATATGGATTTGATGACTTTTTAGACGTTTCATTTAAGAAATATATGCATGGTTGATGAAAATTCCATTGAAGTGAAAAATTCATACAAAAGGAATAAACATACATACGTAGAATAAAGCAAGAGGACCACTTCACGTTTTGCAGTATTCATACTTCAGTTAACTCCAAAATTGGATCTTGTCTTGGCTTACATGTCTACTACTCTTTTGCTTTGATGCTTTCAATCCTTTTCTCTACCCTCAATAATTTGTTGTGTCTCGACCATACCCGAACCAAATTAACTGATTCATGTCACTCCTATGCGATTATCAGCAGCTAGTCACATAAAACCCATGTTTCATTACGACCATTAGGAAAGTTGTTGTGAAATTTTAAAAATCCGCAAGACCGATGACCGATCGGGTTTGATTCCGTCAGAACATTATTTTGTAAAACTTCGCTCTTATTAGTGAAATTATTTGAGAGAAATTCTTTTACTATACTTCATCTCAGCACAACGACTACATTCGTCCTACTTCAGCTAGATGGGAATCAAACGTAGAAGTAGGAAGTGATCACAAACCTCTCCTACATGCTGGGCTTCACAAAACTAAGCCCATTAATGTTACTGAGCCCATCCTCCATTAAAATCTCAATTAGCCTCTTCACTACATTTCTTGCCCTAAAGGAAAATAAAAAAACAAACCCAAAAGAAACAAACGAATCATGTGATGATGACACCTTCACCGTCAGATCAAAAAATGAAAATGAGAACCGGCCGGATTAGTTAATTTGATCCAGTAACGTACCGGCCGGTTCAGTTGATTTGATCGCGTTGAGAGAGTGAAGACAGATTCAACTGCAATTCCGCGAAACCAAACCTAACAGCAATTTCTCCATTTTCTTCTTCTTCTTTAACCTCGTCTTCTTCAGCTCATACCTAAACCAAAAACAAAACCTTTAAAACCCCATTTTCTCTCGATTCATCGATCAGCAATTGTCCATTTCTAATCGATCAAAGAGCTTCCCGATCTCGTCGATCCCAATTAACATGGCTTCCAACGGCGCTTCTCCGGTCTCTTTCTCACTCGATCTCTGTCTGCTACAATTTAGTCTCTTTCTTTTGGCTCCTTTTCTAATTCACACTCTTTAACTGACCCATTTTGTCAACTTCGGAAAATGCGTAGAGAATTGTTGATGCTACTGAGAACAGCTTGGATAAGATCAAGCGGCAATTGGCATCTGGCTCTGGTCGGAACTTGCTTCAGGGACCTCTTTTCAAGCGATCTGAAACTGTAACTTCAATTCTTCAATTTGAGTGAAATTGATCAAAACCAGCTTTTGCTTTATTGATTGGGATTTCTAGTTAGCTTAACGAAAGCTCTCTCATTTCTCACTGTTAGACATGGAATTTCAGGATGAGAATAAGAAATTAAGAATCTTTGTGGTTTCTTTTGAGGAGTTGTTTGATTCTAGAGTTCTATAGCTTAAGCATTTATTGGTTTGAGAATTCTTGTGACCTGAAATGTCTTTTGTTTGTGTTTATGTATGAATAGCTGAGAAAATGGAACGAAAGATGGGTGATACTTGACCCAACAACAGGGAAAATGGAGTATAAGTGAGTAATATCAATTTGTTTATGTAGCTGCATTTGTGTGTAGATCACTTCATCATGGTTCTATTCATTTCTGATATATTTCCATGACTCAGGACGAGACGAAACGAACCAACTATCAAGGGCACAATTCTGTTTGACGAAAATAGCACAATCTCCATTTCTCCTGTCAACTTCCAGTATGGATGCTACCATCTTATTTTGTTGCTCTGAATAATGATCCTTATTTGGTGTATATTTGTATTATTGAATCTGTTTCTTTTTTGTTTCAGGGGGCTTCCAAAATATAATGGTTGCTGTATCTGTATCCTTGTTCTAGTAAACTGTTGGCAAATTTAGAGTTTTTCTTTTTGTCAATAAGGAGATAGTTGATTGGAATTTAGACTTGAGTTTTCTTCAACTTGATGTAAGATATTGGTACCCCACAGAAGAAAGATTACTTTTTGTGTGCAGAGACTCCTGGTGCAGCTAAAGCTTGGGTCACAACCTTACAGTAAGTCATCTGGATCTTCATTTTTCTGTTTGCTTCTCTTTCTGTCCTTTTTATTTACTTACCACTCTCTAGAGAACGCTATCTTAGATAATTCATATTTTTGTTGATTTAGTGGTTTCATCATCGACCATGTTGAAAGAATCATCTTTCTCTCTCTTTTATATTTTCTTTTCCTGAAGATGCAATACCTTCTGAATGCCCCTCAAAAGCCAGTATGCTAAACCTTATCTTTCTTTGTTCATTCAAGTGCGACACAGCTAGTCCTAAAGGCCCATAAGGAGGCTGTCGAATCTCTAAGCGGAAGTGGTTCTGCAACACTTGGTACTGTTGCAACCGTTGTTGCCGCTGCCAATTCAACAGCATTGGAATGTTCCAGAGATATTCAAGCAGCAATGCAGATCTCTTTGAGGAATGCATTGAAAATAACGGCAAATAAACCGATCGAGGGACCTCTAGATGATTTGACAATAATGAAGGTGTGGTATTTTTGTATCTCTCTTTCACCTTGACATTAGGAAACATTTATTGCAGATGGCATATTGACATCCATTGGCTGTTGGGATCCTCCAATATCTTTGTTTAGTAATGTAAAGATATAGAGACATCTTATAGGAAACTTTCCGTGTCAAGGATGAAAATTTACAGAATTAGCATAAAGCTTATCGTTCATCTTGATTCTAATGTCCAGGTTAGCCTTATTCAGCCACTTACATTTACAGGAAACTCTACGTGTCAAAGATGAAGAATTACATAATTTGGCGCGAGAACTTCGTTCTCGTGACTCAATGATAAAGGAAATAGCAGATAAGCTGTCTGAGACTGCTGAAGCAGCTGTAGCTGCAGCAACTGCAGCTCATACAATGGATGAACAAAGGAAAATCGTTTGTGTAGAATTTGAGCGCTTGACTAAAGACTCACAGACACAGCAAGAAGCCGCAAAATTAAAGGTAATGAGGCCGTGTCATATACAAATACTTTTGCATCGTTATTGTTTATTGATTTTTATCTCCTATGTAGCTCAAGGAATTGGAAGAGAAGACATCCACTCTGAGTAAGGAAAAGGATCAATTGGTTAAGGAAAGAGACGCTGCTCTCCAAGAGGCACATATGTGGCGATCTGAGCTTGGAAAAGCCAGAGAGCGTGTTGTCATACTTGAAGGAGCTGTTGTGAGGGCCGAAGAGAAAGTGAGGGTTGCAGAAGCAAGTGGTGAAGCAAAAGCAAAGGAGGCTTCTCAGAGAGAGGCAACTGCTTGGACAGAGAAGCAAGAGCTTTTAGCATATGTGAATATGTTACAAACTCAGCTTCAAAGGTTAGCTCATCTGAATCTATCTCCCAGGGTAACTCATTATTTGGAAGTGTCATAAATCTCTTTATCTTTGATTAAGCAGGCAGCAACTAGAGACGAAGCAAGTTTGTGAGGAGAAGACTGAGTCTACTAACGGCGAAGCTTCTCTTCCAATGACAAAGGAAACAGAAAAGAATGTGGATAAAGCATGTCTGAGCATTTCAAGAACAGCCTCTATACCGGGAGAGAGTGTAGTCCATATGAGTGAAGAGCAAGTAGTAAACGCTCAGCCTCCGGTTGGAGAAAACGAATGGAATGATATTCAGGCAACAGAGGCAAGCGTTTCTGATGTAAGAGAAATATCTGCAGAGACTGAACGGGACAGAAGAAACAGCATGGATATCCCAGTAGTGACTCCTGAACCTAATGTTCCACGCAATGATCCACCTTCAGAATCTTTTCATCATCAGCCTTGATGAATGATTGGTAGATCTTCGTACATTTTCATATACTCTTGATGTTCTATTAATGTTTGGAGAGTTGATTGTTCTAACAAGAAAAAGAATTTGCCTTTTTGGTTTTCTTGTACCTTCAAGAGTTGTGTATGTATCTGCAGCTCTTGAACTTGTCTGACTAGGGAAGGATTCTTCTTTCCCCTGTATTACAACTTGAAGAACAGAGAGATGTGTGTTTAAAACTTTGACTTATGTTTTTGGACTCATATAAACCAGTTTTCATATAAATGCAATCCTTCAACAAACAATGTATATCTAACTATCCAAAACCGTCTGGTTCATCGGTTTTAAACAGGAGGTTTTGATCACTCTGATTATAAACTCTTATTGAAAAGCTTGAAAGGGTTACAAAATACAAGAAACCAGAGATAAGAAATGAGGCAGAGTTCCGTTTCTTATTGAAACAAAGAGACAATCGACCCGAAACGGACTCCCTCACAAGACACAAAGCTCACACAAACCCCAAGTCAACATCTCCTTGTTTACACAGGTAGGGAGTACTTTGCGGAAACCTCCTTCCACGCAGCGCGGCTACTAATCTTATCCCACCACGCGCTAACATGCTTCCTATCTTTGATCAAATGAGCCTTCCCAATAGGACCAACGAGATACTCAGTGAAAGGAAGGTGAGCTAAATCAGCTAGACTCACAAAATCACCAGCCAAGTATTCATTCTTTGAAAGCTGAGCTTCATAGACATCAAGCACTTCTCCAAGCTTCTCTTCACTCTCCTTAATAACTTTCTCATCAGCAGGAAAACCCATAAGTGGAGCAAAAACAATGTTAAGCGTTAAAGCCAATAGTGGTGGGTGATAACTTGTAGCCTCAACGTCAAGCCATTGCTCTACTTGTCCTCTCTCTTCAATTGTCTTACCCAAAAGATCAGGTCCTTGTGATCTATACTTCTCTGCTATATACCTCATGATCGCACGCGACTCTGCAACACAAAGTGAAAATCTCTTTAACATTCATTACTTAAAACAATATTGATGATCAAAGTGAAATCTGAAACTGCAATTTTAAGCTTTAATGGATGATTCCCCTAACAAATCAACCAAACAAATCACAGATTCATTGATCATGATCGCGTACCGAAGATTTTGTAGTCTCCATCGACGAGCACTGGGATTTTACCAAAAGGCTGCATCGATCGGAAAAAAGGGATCATGATCGGAAATAATCGCCGGAAAAAAGAATCAGTTAGTTAAAAAAAGGAAAATCGGAACCTGAATCGCGAGATACTCAGGCTTTCTCTGTTCTCCTTTCATGAGATCGACATTGACGGTCTCGAATGATACTCCCTTCTCCACTAGGGTTACAACGGCTCTCTTCGAAGAAGCGAATAAAGGAGCATAGATCGTCAACACCATTTTTCTTCTCTCTTTTTTTCTACTATCAGTTTCTTTCTAAACTCACTATAGCAAGCAAGGACGCGATTTTATAGAGGGAAAGAGAGAGAAAAGGGATCTGGTTAGCTGCGTTTGCGGTCGCACAGTGAACGCAGTCGCACTTGTTTGTATTTAACTATTTACTATTATTTAAACAAGTGTCGGTATAGGTGGCGGCATTGTTTAACGTCATTTTTGACTTTTCTCACTTGGAAATTTCCAACGTCCCATCAAACTATGAATTAAATGTTGTGTTTAAAAAAAAAAATTATTTACTTATTTTAATAAGCCTCATAAATTAAGACAAACTGGAAAGATATTCCCACTTTGTTGTAGTAAGATGCCATAATGATTCTCATTTGTTTATTTTGAATCAACACATTTAATTATTGGTTATGTGACTTAAACGTCTTATTTATTTTGGGTGTGATTAAATTAAACTTTGTTTTGTTTTGGTTAATGATTTAATAAACAAATGATATTTAAGATCAGACAATAAAAAACCAAGTTAGCCGGTTAAAATTAGGTTGATGGGTACAAGAAAGTATATATAAAACGTGATCTAATGAGACCATTAATTTTGTTGTTTATATTCTGACAGATAACACATTACTTTATCAACACAATTATTAGATGCCTTAAACAAAAACTAGTGATCGAATTATCGAAACCAACTTTTCATTATAGAGTTTATACTTGAATCATTTATATCGATCATTGGACCCAAATTTTAATCAAAATTTTATTCTTAAAGTAGCTCTAAAACCTACTATAATTTAAAACAATTAAACTTTGGTTGTGAATAGAAAAGGCCGAGTGAAAGAATCCAACCAAGATTTTACGTTCGTGGAAGTTCTTTTTGTTAAGACTACGTCCCGACCTAAACCGCAGTCTAGTTTGATGGTATCATCATATGCAATCAATAAGATAGATTGTTCAATTTATTTAGATATTAAGAGTTCATCGGACTACTATCCATCGACTAGGTCACCGATCTCTCACGCTAATTAGACCTTTATTCACGCTAGTTAAACATTCAAGTCAAAACTGAAAGTAAAACTAGGGGAAAAGATAATTTCCTTAAATTGAAAGCCTCACAAAGCCATCGATATACTTATTAAACTACAAAGGGATAGAGAAAACAGAGGAGGTAACATACATAAAGAGGCATATAGTTCCCACTTTTATTAAACCTCACATAAAACAAAAACAACATCACCAAGAAGAAGAACTCATCTTAGGCCGGGAATGAGTACTTCGCAACAGTCTCCTTCCACGCAGGACGGCTGCTAATATCGTCCCACCACGCGCTCACGTGTTTCCTATCTTTGATCATGTAAGCCTTCCCAATGGGACCAACCAAGTAATCAGTGAACGGGAGGTGAGCCAAATCAGCCAAGCTCACGAAATCACCGGCCAAGTACTTGCTCTTCGAGAGATGTGCCTCGTACACATCAAGAACACCCGCAAGCTTCTCTTCGCTCTCCTTGATCAGTTTCTCATCAGATGGGAATCCCATGACTGATGCAAACATTATGTGTAGCGTCAAGTTCAAGAGCGGTGGGTGGTAAGTGGTGGCTTCCACGTCGAGCCATTGCTCCACTTGACCTCTGTCTTCAACGGTTTTCCCCAAAAGATCAGGTCCTTGTGACCTGTACTTCTCAGCTACGTACCTCATCACCGCACGTGACTCTGTCAAAATATCAAAAACCATCTCTTAGCAACAACCACAACAAACATGAGCCAACACAAATCATAACTAAAGAACTTGACCTAAAACAGAACTTGTTTGATCTGTGACGAAATTGACCTAGCATAACTATAGAAATAATCGAATTAAGTAGTTGATATAATTTGAATCGAGCTTATTATCTTGATTTCATCACCAAAACAGAATCATTCAATTTTAGGTTGAATATGCTAAAATAAACGAATAGTGACATTTTCTTTAAAATCGTACCGAAGATTTTGTAGTCTCCGTCGACAACAGCAGGAACAGTACCAAAAGGCTGCATCAGAGGAAGGATCAAAGTAAGAAACCATCAGAATTAATCGGAGAAAAAAAAGGAAACAAATCAGAGAAGATCGAGGAAGAAGGAAGGAACCTGTAGAGCGAGATAAGCAGGCTGCTTGTGTTCTCCTTTCATGAGATCGACGGGGATGGTCTCGAAGGCAACGCCCTTCTCGATCAACGTTACCAAAGCTCGCTTTGGTGAAGCAAAGTGAGGTCCGTACACCTTTAGCACCATCTTTAGCTTTTTCTCTCTTTCTTCTCTCTTTACTCGCACAGTTGTATGGTTAGCTTTGTTGAGTGAAATTTGAGAGTGTCACGACAAGAGTTTTATAGAGAAAGATGAGACAAGGGGAAAGAGAGTGAATTGCGACTCGTGGCGAAACGTGGCGTTGCGTTTGGTGGAAACAAGATTTTATACGAAAATACATAATTAATCAAAAAACATTATATAAAATCAAATTTTTAACTATTTTTCATGATTCTAACCACGAAACTAAAAAAACTGTTACAGAATGGCAAATATTACTATTATCAGTGGTCATCGTTTTTTTTTTTTACCACCAATTATGTTCCACTCTTTGTGTGAATCATATACATATAATTGTTAAATAATAACTTAGATTGAAATTTCTATCTCGACGGAGTGGATTGGCCAGACGTCAATATCATCCATCCATGTCACCCAAACCCATCTTTTTGGGTTCAAAACTCCTGTAAGAACGAAGTAATATCTGGTCAACTCAAAAATAAAAGTATATCTCATTTCATAAAAGTCGATTAATGATACTTTGTTTTCTTTTATTTAAAAACTGTATAGTGTGTATTATAAATATATTATTGATTAATGGTGCTTTGTTTTCTAAGAGAAAAGAAAATCAAATTATGGAAAGACATAGAGAAGGTAACAAAGATGGGTAGTGGTTTGAAATAGGTAGGTGGAGCCAAAATAAAACGTGAGAGAATGAGCCCATCCGTTTAGCTAACCATTGAACCACATGCTTCAATTGGTTCTTTTGGTAGGTGTGTATGACTTGACTTTATTATATTTGTAAGATCGACGGTTTTATGGAATAACAACAAAACAAAAAAACTAAAATTCATATGATATTCATTTTTACATTTTATTTTGAAATTTGATGCAGATTAATCTATTTTATAAGCTGAAAAGAAGAAAAATTATGAATGTGTAAATCAGTATTATTAAACAAAAATAAAGCTTATCAATTAGGTATTTACTTCTTCTAATATGATTTTTTTTTTTCAAATGAAAGCTATATATGAAATGACAACAATTCTCGAAATTATTATATGGTCTAGCTTAAAAGAAATGATGAGTATTAGTTTATAGTTTAGAATATTCGCAAACTAGTATTGAAAAAAATATCTATCCAAACTAAAAAATTTCATCTTCTTATTTTACAAAACTTTAGTTATCTTTCTTTTCTTTACTAGGTCTAGGATCATGACATGTAGGATGTAACTGTTAATATTGACGTAACAATAGTGGATTGAAAAACAAATTACTCTTGTTTTTAGCTTGGTGTACACTAATCAGCTGAAAAATTAAAAAAGGAATGTTTAACATAGAGTAATTATACCAATAGATAATTTTACTCTCGATCCTCCTACCTTATCTTTTTTTTCTCTTTACCACTTAACTATTCTAAAATTCTGTCAATCACATCTCTACTTTACTGGTTAGATAGTGGACAAAAATAAGTAGTGTAGTTAAAATATTAAGATCCCCATTCGAATACCAGGAGATATCCGAGTTAATAATATCGTTAGTCATTATCTCAAATTCTCAATCGTTAAATCTTACTTTTTAAAAAATATCTCAATCACATCACTCGTATTCTTGCATCAGTTTAAATCAAAATATATTAATTATTTATACAACGTGGGGATGTAGCTCAGATGGTAGAGCGCTCGCTTAGCATGCGAGAGGTACGGGGATCGATACCCCGCATCTCCATTTACTCTTTTTGATTCAGTTTTTTTTGTCTTTCTTATCTCTTCACGAAAGTTTTTTCTTTGTTCTGTTTCTAAGAAGAAGACTAAGAAGAAGAAGAAGATGGAAGCAAAAAACGATCGTGCAAGTGAGGTAAAAGCTTTTGACGAGATGAAGATCGGCGTAAAGGGTCTCGTCGACACCGGAGTTACTCAGATCCCACGTATCTTCCATCACCCTCATCTCAATTTAACCGACTCAAATCTACTTCTTTCCTCTACAACGATGGTTATACCAACGATCGATCTCAAAGGAGGCGTGTTCGACGAGTCCACAGTCATGCGAGAGAACGTGATCGCGATGATCAGAGACGCGGTTGAGAAGTTCGGGTTTTTCCAGGTGATTAACCATGGGATTCCTATTGATGTTATGGAGAAGATGAAAGATGGGATTCGTGGGTTTCATGAGCAAGACTCAGACGTGAGGAAAAAGTTTTATACTCGTGACATCACCAAAAAGGTCAAGTATAACAGTAATTTCGATCTTTATAGCTCTCCTTCAGCGAATTGGAGAGATACCTTGAGTTGTTTTATGTCCCCTGATGTTCCAAAAACAGAGGACTTACCAGATATTTGTGGGTACGTATAATACAAATTTCTCTTATTTCTTCATCTATAGAAGAAATTAGAAAGAAAGAAGACTTATCTAGTTGTGTGAATGTTTTAGGGAAATTATGTTGGAGTATTCGAAACGAGTGATGAAACTAGGGGAACTAATCTTTGAGCTTTTATCAGAAGCTTTAGGGCTTAATCCTAACCACTTGAAAGAAATGGATTGCACAAAAGGTTTATTGATGCTTTCTCATTATTACCCGCCTTGTCCTGAGCCTGATCTTACTTTCGGTACAAGTCAGCATTCAGACAGATCTTTTCTCACTATTCTTCTTCAAGATCACATTGGTGAGCTTCAAGTTCTTCAGAATGGTTACTGGGTTGATGTTCCTCCTGTTCCAGGAGCTCTTCTCGTTAATCTCGGAGATCTTTTACAGGCAAGTCGTTATTGTGACATGAATCATACCGTTTGGTTTGAAACAAATTCATACTTTTTTGTGTGATTTGTTTTGTAGCTTATGACGAATGACAAGTTTTTGAGCGTGGAGCATAGAGTTTTGGCTAATAGAGGGGAAGAACCGCGGATCTCAGTCGCAT